CTATAAAAAAACATAAACTTTTTATCACTGGTGAATTATTATATTAGTCTTTAAATTATTTTTTATATTTTATAAGAAAATCTTTCAAAAGTGGCACCTGAATTATATATAATTGGAATTTATAAATCCAAAAGAAATAATTCTCCAGCAAACAAATTATATTATATTATGTTTATTAAATTACATTAAAAATTGTCAGCATTTGGGATTACAGAGACAATACCATTGTGGATGAATCTAAAGGATTCTTCAACGCAAAAGCCTTCCGTTTCCCAGGACTCTGATTATTTGTATCAATACATAGATTATCAGGACATGAACGAAAGTGACACAAGCACGTTGCTGCCCAGTGTGTCTACTACTATCAGTGTACCTACCCAGACAGTGAAGATCATTCACCCATCACCGCAGAAGCCTCAATTACAGAAGAACACCACGTTACCAATAAAGAAAAATCCTGTGCCACCATCACCTAGCAGCTCCGGCTTCAGCTTTTTCGGTCTACCACTCAGTCTACCGAATTTGAATTTCAATCTGTGGAGGCATTCGGCTAGAAAGGCAGAGAGAAAGGAATCTTCATCGGAATCATCGTCGTCGTCGGATAGACCCGGCCGAGGACGTTACAGGTCTTTTCCGCCCACGGAACCAGAAATTCATAGAGGTGGTTTTGTGCCTTTGCCGCACGGCCAAAGTGGATTCGTGCCGATCGCTGATCCTAGATTGACGTATGAGAAACACGCAAAGCATGAAAATACTTCAAGATCGTTGAATGTAAGCAATACGTCGGTACAGGAACGTTCTGTTCTTCGAAAAAGCGGAAATAGCACCGTGACCAAGGTGGAGAAAATTGTCCCCAGAACCGGGAAACCGCGGACAAGCTTGCGCGAAAGAGAAGACCTTCCCACTACATCGACAGTCATTCGATCAACGAGTTTTGAATCTCGCAAAATTTTATCCAACGTCAATAGAACTAGGTAGATAATTATTCTTTTTTTTCGATGCAATCCTCTAAATTTCACTAACATCCCAGCAAACAATTAAAGTACCGTTATATGTCACTGTTGGATGTTAAAGTGTCTTCAATGTCATTTGACGTCAAAATCCGATGATAAATAATATCAGCTTATTTTCTGAGAACAGCCTGAGATAAAACATACTTTTCAAATTCTTTAATTAAAACAAAAATTTTTTTTATAATCCTAATAGGAAGTAAAGCCCATATATAATTTCTTTTTATTTAATTAAAACGATTTAGAGATTAAAAATGGTTTTAAACTGTTTTAAATTTAATGCTGTTATATCGATACTTACATTCGGCTAATCCTTTAAACTTTTTTTTAAGCCTTAATGCATCAAATGCAGTGAAAAATAGCGTGCCAATAATCGTAGAGGAAGATTCATCACAAGAAGCTCATGAAACATCAGTTTCCACCGAAATTTATGACGGCAAAAGTTTAGAAGTAAATACGGAGGACATTAAATTTATAGAGAAGCCGCAGATGGAAGTCGCTAACAGAATAATTTGGACCACACCAAAATCAGTAACAACGGAAGCAAAAAAAGTTACAATTACTAAGGAAATTGTAACCGCAGCGGTGCAGGTAATACCGTCAAAAGAAGACAGATCTAAAGAATGGAATTTAGAAATATCTGAACATGAAAGTGATCCAACTGTTTTAAACAGTACAGTTGACTCCCATGAGAAACCGAGTAAGTTTATATTTGAATAAAATATTTAATAATAGAATTTAATTTTAAAATGTTCCATATATTCGAATTTTATTATGAGACTTCTTCATTCTTATTATCAGATATGTAATTAAGTTTCTATTAAAGTAAACTCTATTTTTAATTAATTGAGAGCCGATTTCACTATTGGTTTAACTGTTAAAGTTTAATCAAGTTAAATCTTTCGTTATTAAAACATCTAACAAAAATATTATTTTATTTACTGCAGACTATTTGGATATTGTGACAGAAACGGATGCAAAACCGATTTCGCACTTCTCAGTACCCTTAACGTCCTCTACATCAAATCCACGGCCCAAAGAAACAACTGTGACTTCTCGAGGAACGGAGGCATCTGCTTTGTCCGCGCTTCTGATTCCGGGCGGACAAGTACCGTCTTCAGGATCTGTAAATTTACGTCCACTTGGTAGATCTACAATAACCAAAGTCGCCTCGCCGTACATCAGCTACAGTACCGAACAATCCAGAGAGAAACAGAAGTCGATCGCCAGCGCTGTTCAGAGAAGCGAGATAGACGAGACGACGACCGAAAATCAGAACGATGTGTTCGTCATTGACGATGAAGCCAAAGTAATAGATGACAATCCTTTCAATTGGTACTTTCAGCATTATAATGATACAAATGTGGGGCCTTACGTAGGCATAGCTTACAGCAGTACTGCGAAGATTGATGTCTATCGATGGTTTCTTTTGCTTGTGGTTTTCAGTATTCTCATATAAAAAGATTTGGAGATTAGATTATTTTTTCACAGACAGATTAATCGCTGTATCATATGAAATAAAATATGCTATAACGTTTGTTAATAAATGCTGCAGTGTTTCAAATCATAAATCATATTATATATACAATGCAAGAAATTTGCAAACCTCTATATTCCGTCCGAAACATGTACAAGAATTAAAGATTATGCGTATACATATCTGCTTTTTTGTATAGATATTCTTTTGATAAAGAGTATAAATAGAAAATGTTTCAATATTAATGATCAATTAATAAAACGAGATATATATATAAGTAAAAGATTATTTTTATTAATGTAATATTTTCTCTTAATAGAATGACTTGCATATCCTAAAAATACATAATCCATATCTACCACATATATTAATTGAAACTTAAATTTTAAGCAATACGCTTAAGGCAATTTAAAAAAACGCATCGACTGCTTGTTGCTTGTTGATTAATGGATGAATTGAAAGAAAATAAATAATTATACTTCGTATAGAATATTATCGTTTATATTAACGGCTTGTTAATTAAAACACTGAAAATATTGTAGATTACAATATTTTGTAAAAATGTCTTAATTCTAAATTTTTCGATATATTTACTACATCATTCATTACATTCAAAATACAGAAGTGTTAAGTTATTATTTTTTCACTTGCGCCTAATATATTAAAAACTTACAAAATTATATCAGAATAATTCACAGAAGGAATTAATTTGCTGTTTCTAATACATATTTAAATTTTTATTGTAAGTGAGATATCATTCTGTACAAATAGTGAACAGACTTGACTATTACACACAAAGTCATTAATTGTCCTCAACTTTAACAGTCTCAACTGAGCAAGCTCAGAAATTTCCTGATCACTGACTTTTAGCTTTCGCCTTTTCCTCACCTTTCTTCTCCTCTTCTTTCTTTTCTTCCTTCTTAGTATCTTTCTTTCCATCTGTTTCTTTTTTCTCAGCGTCACGATTGGTTAGCTTATTATTAATTAAATTGTGTAATGCAACTATAGACCTAACTAATGCTGCTAGATATACAACCAGCATCTGATCATTTGTCTTTACATATAACGAATCGACGAAGCTACTTTGAGTCATATCTGGTAATAAATTAAAGATATCTTGAAGCTGATAAACAATTTGATGATTTATAGGTAATTTTCCATTGCCAACCTAAAAAACAATTATTTGAATAAACCTTTTGACAATATTAATATAAAAAATAAAAGTGCCTTTTCATACTGACGACGCTTATTTTTAGCATCAAAATAGGTCAAGTGATCGAAATCGACGTTTGATACTCAATTTTTGTCATGCAATCTGTTTTGATACTAAAAATGAGCGTCGAGCATCAGCATGAAAAGACAGCTTAATTTCTATCAAAGGTAAAAATGCATACCTGAAGCAAATAATCTCTAATTTCCCGAATTTGTTCATGTAGTCCTTTCAAGCCAAGTAATTGATTTGTGATTCTTTGACTAAGAGTACCAACTGTAGTATCTTTGATATCTCGCAATAAATGCTCCACTCCTACCTCTTCTGCTTCTTCAGCTCCAATTTCGCTTGGAATATGCTCGAAAGTTTTGGAGGTAGGAGAACCATCCTACAAATAAAATTCTCATTACACGTTTATTTGTATAACAGATAGCAGATATAATATATATATATATATAAACGTACATCATGTACTTCTTCAACTGCTTGATATGCCTCAGTAGGAAGTCCAAGATCTTTTGGTTTGGCATCGATAATCACCAAAACCGAATTAGGACAATATCTTCGTATTAGTTCATTGATGGCAACGTCATTTTGATGTAGCTTAGGCCCAGTGTGATACCAGCCTACTACCTTTTCACGAGCTAAGAATCAACATAAAATATCGTAATCAGAACTTTTACTCCAAGTAAAACCTGTAGAATTTGCACAAATTTACATAGATCTTTACCATTAACCTTCTTGAACATTCCGTACATATTTTCAAGATAATCATGGTCAAGAAACCATACACTTTTATCCTTGTCATCCTCATCAAAGGGTACTGAAACATATGTATCTGGTTTATCTCTTTATATCGCATATTAGTTTTAAAGATAAGATACATTTATTTTTTGTGGCTTTAGACACAATAATGAAAGCAGAACAACTTGACTTCAAATACGAACGATTTAAGAAATATTGTAGCGTATTTACACATTCTAACCTGCAAAACTGTTCGACACGTCTAAAATTCCCTTGGCTCTCCAGCAGCCCAGGAGTACACCGACTACTCTTTTTTGGTTTCCGATTTTTCCCATGCGATTAAAGTGATCCACCACACTTAATAGCACCAGCGGATGGACCACAACCTTCGTTGTCACTACCTCTTGACTCGGCATTTTTGAACAATGCAACAACGTTTACTGCTTTAGTCTATACTACTGACATTACTCCATTACTCCAGCAGCCAGGCCAGCCACCACTGGCGCCACTGATCACGGTCATTCGGAAATAATAAGAATGGCGTGTTGTATGTCAAGTGATGTCAAACTCATCGAAGCGCTGTATGCAGATGAGAGAAAAAACGCCAATCTTCATATTTTGATATGATATAAAATAATCGAAGGTAATTCTACATTTTAAAAGTGAAATATTATGTTATATTTATATTGTTTTCCATTATAAATAATGGTTATTTCCTATTTGGTTTAGTGAGGATGATGAGCTTTTCACGATTCATCCGAGTGAAGTTGGCTAGCTTGATTGAAAAACCAACGTTGGATGTATCGACTACAGTGGTTTTGTTGGTTAGAAGCGACTACAGTGGTTTTGTTGGTTAGAAGCGACTACAGATTTTAACGTAAAAGTACTTCAATTAAAAAGGTAATAAGTTTGTTTCCAGTATCAGAAGTATGCCTAATAAAAGTAGTTTGCATGACGTTCATATTATTTTGAAAACAATTCGTGATGATAGAAATTCAACATGTTAAATATATCAAAGTGCATATGATTGTACTTCTCTCTCTCTCTCTCTCTCTCTCTCTCTCTGCACCGAACTGCACTGAATAAATTCACTGTGAGCGCCAATTTGAAAGATGTAAACAAAATGCTCAAGATCAGGAGAAAAATAAAATTATGTAACAAATAATAAAATGAGAATCTTATTCTAACATAATTTGATTAAATCTTTGATTAATTTTTGATAAAACAAATTTTTATATTATAACATTTTTAAGAATTAAATTGAAATTTTTTAAAAGTGGCTTACCAATACAAAATGTAAATAAAAAGGAGCATTAAATCACAACTAGCGTTTATTGTTTAATTTTATGTTTTTATTTTTGTATGTACTAATGATGGTTAAATCTTGATCGAAACGTCTACGTTATATTATAATTTTAAATATATGACTTTCGCTTAAGACATCTAGTTGTGGCTGAATGCTCCCTTTTATTTATATTTTTAAGAATTTTTCATATTATAAATTTATGAAGATTTTTAAAAAATACCTTAAACTTTTTCTATAGATTCTATAAGTTTTTTTGGAAATTATAGAACAAAAAATCTTAGAATATTTCAAAATTGAAAATATAAAATATTCTTAAGATGTAAATCCAGTCAATATTTTTCAATTAGTATACAATATTTAAAAAATATTTTTTAAATATTTATTAAATATTTTTACATTAAATAAATATTTAAAAAACGTTTTAAAAACATTGTTTGCTGATTGAGTTATAAGCATTCCCAACATTTCTAAAATATTCCAGTTTGTATTAAAAAATTTAAGAAATTCTCTAAAAAATTATAAAATTATATAAAAATTGAAAAATTCAAAAACCTGAAAATTTATATGAAAAATTCTTAGAAATATTTTCGCCAGAAATATTTGTAATTTAGAAGTTAGAAATCTAATATAAAATATTTTATTTTTATTAAATTCTATAAAGAATAGTTGAATTAAAATAGTTAATTAACTTACATTCTTTATAATTTAAAGCATTCTGAATTATACTAAACGGCTTATATAAACGGGAAAATCTGCAATGAGAATATATATTTTTTTAATTATACCATTTTGTAATAATTTATCGAGTTTTATATTACAGATAAAGAAATCATTTGAACTATTTTTTATAGAATTTGGTATGATATTGATTTCTATCAATTATGTTATCATTCGGAGGACAAGTTAATCCTAGAGTGAGAAAAGATTTTTCTAATGTCATAACATTGACTAAAGAAATTTTAAAAAGTTAAAATAATATACCCCATACTTAACGTGTCTTTTGTTATAGAATGTCGCTACCCATAGTATTCGTGACGGGAAACGCGAAAAAGCTGGAAGAATTCATCGCTATTTTGGGAAAAGACTTTTCTCGACGGATAATGAGCAAGAAAGTCGATCTGCCTGAATATCAGGGCGAAGTAGACGATATATGTCGAGACAAATGTCGGGCCGCAGCAAACCTAATGAAAGGCCCAGTGATCATCGAAGATACATGTCTCTGCTTCAATGCACTGAAGGGTCTTCCAGGACCTTACATTAAATGGTTCCTCGAAAAACTGGGACCTGAAGGTCTTCATAGGATGCTCTATGGATTTGAGGACAAATCGGCGGAGGCAGTCTGCACATTCGGTTATTGTTCTGGTGAAGACTCTGAAGTTCATCTATTTCAAGGTCGAACTCAAGGCACCATTGTAAGTCCGCGAGGTTCCAGGGATTTCGGCTGGGACCCTTGTTTTCAACCGCTAGGCTACGACAAGACTTACGCGGAATTGCCGAAAGAAGAGAAGAACAAGATTTCTCACCGTAGCAGGGCAATAGAAAAATTAAAAGATTATTTGTTAAGCAATGAGAATATTTAATTTTTGCAGTATATAATAAAATTACAGTTATAAAGGAAACTATTATTTTTTCTACATTAGAATGTAAAAAATACTCCAGGTGATTGTTCTTGAGTTAATTATATTGTTAATACGTACTTTATAGATATTTATGTTCTTATGAAATTCGTTTATACTGATTTATTATAATCGAGATAATGTATATTAATGCAATTATGTTTACGATTCTCCTTAATCCTGGAGAGCGGCAAGTACGCGTTGTTTTGTCTTCACTTTGTAATTTACACTGTGACCTATAATGTTAACGTTCGATATCCGTTCAATTTATCAAAGGTGATTTTTTGCCGAAAACAAACATTTCGATGTCTTGTCACAGCGATAGCCGTTGGATAGCATATGGAATAATTTGCCGACAACCTTGAAGCTATCGTGAGATGAGACTCACTATTGTGAGAATTTCTCACGACTGAGAATCTGATAACTTTAATTTCGATATGTCGCACGAATGTGTTAATCAACAACTTCCACCTTACAAATCTTACGTGACGCAACAAATTGAAATATGAAATTATATATTTTTTTTAATTATGCGGTGGCTGATATTGTTAATCATGTAAACCGATACTTTTCGTATACAAGCACTCATGATTAGAACTATAAATTATGTACAATAATAACTACGATGGATTACCGCTATCTAATTACTTTTTTTTTTTACCAATAACGCGATTACATACATTATGTGAGTGAGATAGACTATAAATTGTTACTGTGAAATGATACCAGTACTAAATGGAATTTAAATATGCCAGTTAAATTAAAAAATGACACTTCTCTGAAATAAAATATAAATAATTTTGTACACTTGGAAAAAATTTTGGAAAAAAATAATTTTGTACACACACTTTATATACAAAATTAATAAAAGTATATAACAGTATTATATATATTTTATAATATATTACTTAAAAATTTTCTTTGATACAAAGGAAAAGGCTGATATTTTTAGTCGATTCTTATATTTAAAATTGTCTGAAATATAAATTTTAAATATTATGAATCAAACATAATTTATCAGAGAACTGCGTTAGCATCTTAAAACATTACTTAAGACGGCCACAAAATAAAAATGGACTATGAATACTGGATTCAAATGTATTTTCTTAAAATATTTTAAAATACATTTGAATCCAATCGGAACAGAATACT